TGCGATATGCATGCAGTGTGTTTGCGTAATCATTCCATTGAGTAGATGCTTGACAGCGTTTCGCAAGACGAAAAGTGCGTTTTTTCTTGTTTAATAATCTTTTTAGTGTCGTTGAAAACCAAGCGGAGCATTTCTTTCCGGAAAGCCTGCGCAGTGGAATATATTTAGCGACAAGTGACGTGGCTTCGTTCCTAAATAGTGTCCAATTATCTTCTACAGTACGGCTAAAAAATTCTGGCATGAACTCGTCAATGAATAATGCAAGCTCATTATTGATTGCTGTGTAATCGCCTCTCGCATAATCTATGATAAATTTTGGATTGCTTTTCTGACATGTAACACGGCCCTTTACAAAAAATGTAAAAAACAATGATCGCTTATTCCGGGTAAACAAGTTAATGAATGCACTAAATTAGGATTACTGACAAGGACCAGGTCAAGTGTGTTCGATGAAGTAGTGCCAGTTCTAGTTGGCCCAGATACAAGTTGCGCAAAATTGAAATTTAAGCACACTTTCAGCGGACGAACCAAAAACGGAGGGAAATTGTGAAGCCCAACTTATTCTAGGAAAGTTAAAATCTCCTAGAAGAAGCAACGGAGAGTGAGGAAATTTGAGACGAGAAAATCAAAAACGTCATGCAGCTCAACGCAGAAATGTAGTTGGTGCATTTGGCGGCCGGTAACAAGCACAAATCAATGTGTTTTGGTGATCTATGGCAGCACGCACACAAATCAACTTTAAGGACGTTGTAAGTGCAATCCTAGCAGACACTATATTGTCGGCAACGGCAATTAGACGCCACCACCCGGTTAGAATTAGAACGGCACCACCCGCTACGGTGAGACGCGGCCAGCTTGCGCGAAATTTACCTGCAGGTCGCGGGATCGAATTTCGGCTGGGGCGGCTGCATTTTCAATGGAGGCTAAAATGCTTAAGGAGATGCTCCTCGAAAAAGTTTTTTTTATTTCTAGTAATAGAGACTGGAAAAGTTTGTTATTAGTATAGTTTTTCATGCAGATTTCAAATATGCAATCATTTTTTGTGTAGCTGCTATAATTATTGAGTTATGCCATAAACAATAGCAAAAAATTACATTTTTTGCGGGCACTCTTTTATGTACTAAACTTTCAGTAAAAGCACTGTGTCTGATCTTATTTGACTCTTGGTAGATTGAAAAGTGCAAATATCTATATAGATATGTCACAGAAATATTGGAACCAAGAAAAAAAAATTGTATTGAATGACTTATTATTTTCAATCTCCCTTGAAACAATAAGCTAATATTTTCACAACTAATACTGGTAGGCATTGCAATTTAGAGTAGATATTTGCATTCTGCATGTGTTGAAGAATATGTGTGCCAAGTTTCGTTACTATACAATGAATATAAGTTTCTAAAAGGCTGCCCGGAAAACGTGAAACTGTCAGAAAAAAATGAAAATGAGAAAAACAAGTTTGAAAGTTCGCTAAGTTGGCATTTATTAGGAAATCATTCTTTTTGCATCAAATTGGGGCACAATGAAAAGTACCTTGCCTTGAATGCACTGCAAGTGTCTAGAAGTCCCCTGCACCATAGCTTGGTCCTTCACGGCTCTCGCGGTCAGTGTCCTCAACACGAGCTCTCTTCGCTGTGTTGCGACAGTGTGCCCTCGCTTCTGCAGTTTGCTTCAGGTTCATCTTCCTGATGCGCATGACGTCACAGTGGTCACCATGTGTGGCCAGATCTTGTGAGGGGAGAATTCCAATGCCTTCGAGCACTTCTTCAAAGCCCCTGTGGCCTTTGTTGTACCAGAGTACAGCAAGAGCGGTGGCTTTCTCCACAGTTGTTCTGGAGGCGAACTTTGTTTTTGGACATAGCAGCCATATCTTGCTGTTCAGCGATTCGGCTGCATTCTGTGTCTTGCCATGAAGGCACCGAATAAGGAGTTTCTCCTCTGTAAGGCGCTTGTAGATAGGCATAATTGCCAATCCTTGAGCCTTCGTCAACAGTGGGGTGTGGCGTGGTGCAGGCTCCCCCAGTGCTTCCGCACGCTTGTGCTTGCACCACGAATTTGGTCCCGCGGGGCAAAAGTTGTGGCTACTGGCACCATCACTGGAGCAGCAATGAAAATACGATGCCCATATGGCAGTGTACATATTTCGGACACTGTCCTTGTTGCTCGTGATGGCGATCTTGTAATATGTTTGTAGTTTTATTATTGTCGCATCTTTCAGTTTTTCGCCTCGTGGCAGTGGCGTTGCCAATTTCCGTAGGGCAGTTCCCAAGCGCTTTGCAACGTGGTTCGTGCACTCTTCTTTGTCCATGGGGGTGTCACAGTATACATTTGCCTCGCAGACTGCAGTGTAGGCCTTGCTGTCACCATCACTTAGGAAGCTGGTGAATCGCAGTGGAGTTTCATAAGACAAGGTCCTCTGCCATATATTGACAGCTGCCGCAGGTTCCATTGCATGGGACGAGCAGTCAGTGTTTTTTTGGCAAACTGGAAGATGAAAAGCTCGCCATATCTCTTCATCCTCCCCAAGGTCCCTGTGTATACTGCAAGCATGGCAGTAGTTCGAAAGAACTTCAAAATCGAGGCAGAGCCCCTTGTCCAGGGACACGACTGTGCCCACTCCATTGTGGCTTTTATGACCTCTTTTCTGCCAGGTGCCATCAAACATGACTGGCACATCTCTGCCGCCGACCGCGTCCTTCGTGATGTTTCGTGCCTGGTGAAAGTTCTTGCTCACTGTCGTCATCGCCGCACCATGGAGCTTCTTGCAAATGCCGTTGAATGTCTTGTGATGCATCGGGCTTGGAAGACCGAGAATCGCTTAAAATCGTGAAAGTTGGTCGTGGCCTGCGCCTATAGCACGTGCTGCCAGAACTGCCTTCACGTTTACAGCAAAGCTGTCACGCGAGCTGCCGCTATCAAAACAAGCGCTCGTTCCTTGGTCCCCGGCCGAAGCAGTACGTCTCGACGTGTGCGTGAACGAAAGTGCAGATTCAGGGCAATCAGAATTTTGACAGCACAGTTCGAGGAATGCCGAAAGTCCTTTGCGCTTTCCAGCTGCCTCTCGCACGCCGAGCTTCCGTTCGCGGCAGGTTGGGCATTGCGCACCCGTCACAAGTGCCGTCAGCGCATCGATTTCGCAAAGCAGCATGTTCGCAGTAGCAGCATCTACCGGTCTACGTTCACTCTTGAAGAATCCAATCTTCTTTGGGGATGCACTGACGAATTCCACGGCAGCGGCTATTTCACAACCACTGTCGCAGGGTTCAGTGACGGTGTTAGGCCTATCCGAAGTCGGAGCGTCGGGGCGTTGGTCGGGGGCGACATCGTCGTTCGCTGTCGCTTTGCGAAGCGTCCGACGCCATTTCAATCGATACTTGTGGCGAGTTCTGAACTTTCGATTATCTGAACTGCACTTCTTCGGGCTTGCCATGGCGCAAAAATGCAGAGAAACGCAGAAAAACTCGATCGCGACGTCCGAGGCTTCGCTCCTTTGCCGGAGAGATAGGAGGGGGAGGAGCGTGGAGCGCACCGCCGTCCAATGGCGGCCTCGCGCTGTGTGCCGCGATATTCAAACGCGTGACGTACGCGTTGTTTCTCGTTTTTTGTTTATTCTGCGTGAAGGCACGAGACTGGCTACTAGTGGATTATGAAAGATACGGCCTTCGCAGCATGCGTGCACGATTGCAAATGGCGGCCAACGCGTCGTTTTCGCGACAGGACAACGCGAACTTCGCCGTTTTTTGCGACTTTCGCGCATTTCTCGCGTCACCTCTGCCCACTTGGAAGCATTTTTTGATAATTTCTCGTGCGAATTTCAGCTTGATATTTTCAGAAGTAATAGATTATGGTCCAAGGATGCCAATACAGCCGGAAAAAAAAAAGCAAAAATTTTCCGGAAAATCGTGACTTTTCGACCCGCGTCTCCCCTTAAGTCCCGTGTGCTCATATTAGGGTGCACGATTAAGCACCCCACGTGTCAAAATTTCCGTGGTTCTCTACTTCGGCGTCTCTCATAATTATGTGTTGGTTTTGAGACATTAAACGCCAAATGTTAATCAATCAATCATTTCTTGAAGCCCCGCCATAGTGGTCTGTGGCTAAGGTACTCGGCTGCTGGCCCGCAGGTCGCAGGATCGAATCTCGGCTGCAGCGGCTGCATTTTTGATGAAGGCTAAAGTGTTCTAGGACCATGTGCTCAGATTTGGGTTCACGTTAAAGAATCCCATGTGGTCGAAATTTCAGGAGCCTTTCCACTACGGAGTCTCTCATTATCATATGGTGGTTTCGGGACGTCAAACTCCATACATAAATCAAACGTCATTTTTTTCTTGAGGTGCATTATGTGTGTAGACTGCATTCATTGTGAGCTAAATTCCAAGAAATGTGCATCGTGAAAATCGGATTTGCTGTAGCTTACCGAATAGCACGGGTGCCCTACGGTGCCGGCCATTAAGGAACTGCCACTGCTTACGGGCTGGGTGTTGAGCTATATGAGTGAATTGATGTGGTGAGCATTCGTAGCCAATATGACTTAATTGTAAATGAAAGAGTCAACAATTCAGTATCATCACATTGTGTGAACAGCAACCGTATCAACATTGTTTTCTGCCAGAATATTTTTTTAAGCCATTGAACATATTTTATGTGCCTTCAGCATAGCTCTGAGAGAGTCCCTTTAAGCAGTGACTCCTCGATGACCAGCTGCTTTCTGAGAAATCGATTTTAGAATGCCGTAATAAGGTTTACGCCGAAAAGCTAAAAGCCGCTGTTGAAGTTTCTGCGAACGACACACCTCATTAAACTGTTGTCACACTCCTGTGTTCTGATGTGTTTCTGCTTTCCCCCCTCCCTCTCTTCCGTACTTTTGTCTCCCCTTCCTTGGTGCAAGGCAGCAAACTGGATATTTTTCTCACTAACCTCCCTGCCTTTCCGCGTCACATTTCTCTCTCTCTCTCTTCTGTTAAGCTCGTGCACTTCATGCTGGCATTTTGTTTGGTTTGCAGGAGGACTTCAGACGCACCGTGCAAGAGTTGGATGAGAAGCAGTATGTCAGCCTGCGGCTGGTTCTTTGTGAACTCAAGAACCATTATGTAAGAGCAGTTCCTTGTGTAAATGCTCATGCGACCGTCACAGCTTTGAATATTAACTGATCTTTCATTGTTTTCGATGCAGGCGACTCTTCACGACTTGATCACTAAGAACTTGGAAAAGATCAAGAGGCCACGAAGCAGCAATGCTGAAAACATGTACTAGCTTTTACAATAATAATAAAGTCGAAAAATCGGTAGTTATGTGCTGTTCGTCTTTCTAGTTAGAGGAGAGAGAAAAAAATGTTTTAAAGGAAAGGGACTGCAAGAAGGTGAAGGATAAGTCAAATGTCTGATAACCTACCATCTTCACCGCTATAAATGGTGTTGCAAATATTAATACATTTGTCATTTCTGTTTTGGTGAATGCAGCATCCAAAATCTCATCATTTCAAGATTGGTGGTAGATGATTTTACTGTATTCAATAAAAAATGTTGAATGTTACGACCATACGGTGACTGTACAAGGCATCAGTGATGCATCTCCTTTAAATTTTAATTTTTGTTGGCATCGATGCCAGCGTGTAAAAAGCTCTTGCTTAACATGCATGTACATGTAATCCTGCAGATAAATCAGTCGCCATCACCAGGTAGGTAGGCTGGATTCCCAGCCATAAGATAGTGAATGAGCGAATCGGCTTGCCTTCAATAGTTATCATTACTACTATTGCCTTCCCCCCCCCCCCCCCAAAGACCCTTGGACCCCTGCGTTCCACATCCAGCATGTAAGCAAACTTGCTTTATTTGAGTGTTACCCACATGCCCTACTCAACAACCTCGCTGTGTGGTCATTGTGCCGCTCACAAAACGTCGCACAATGCTGCAAGTCGTATGGCACGCCTGTGCATAAACCACGATCAATCGGAGCCTCCTCAATGCAACATACTATTTCCTTCAAGTGGCGACCGCAGGCTTTTAGCAGGTACCACGGTTCAACGCTGAAACGCCGCCAACGGCGTTCTAGTCTTGGTCTAGATAAGAGTTACTCTATACGGTAACTCTAGTTCTAGACTGTAGGGATGAATTTGTTCCTGGAGCGATAGCACGTTTGTTTCCGATGGCGAGCAGATGGGTGCCACTTCACTGAGATGTAGTGCAGATGGAACCTTGCCGTGTGTGGCTTGAATTTTAAACATATTTAGCACATTTGTTGAATGAAGGGCTGTGGTAGACTGCACTGGAACAAAAAAAAAAAAAATGTGGGGTGAGGCGGTGGCTTGGGCAACGCCTCCTCTAGAAAAATGCCTGCCGCATGAGAAAAAAAAAAAAACAGCTGCCACACCCTTTCTCTCTATTTTAAAATGTTCTCGGTCGCTAGCGTCACTTGTGGCGGATGGTGCAACACTTTGCATAGCCTCCGAAACAGTGGTGCACAGTTGCAGGTCTCGAACAACTCTCGACTAACGCGCCCCTATGGGCCGCAGATGAAAAACGCTTTGCTGGTACCGGCCGCCGCCGTGATGATGGTGTCGGTCGCGAGCGTCACCGTGCGGAGCTTGTTTAAAACTGAAGGCAGGCCAACTCCGCTGGGAGCGCCAGACATTCCTCAAGCATCTTTCTAGAGGAGGCGTTGGCTTGGGTCGCGTTTGCGGCGACGCTCTCCAGATGTCTCTACTGCCGCGTGCCACTTTTTCTTTCACGGCTCGGAACTATTTCCTTTTTCTATTTTCGCAGTATCCAGTCGCGGAGTGGCGGATGCAAGTCTTGGCGGACTTGCGCCGTGAGCAACGTTACTGCTGAGGGAGACGCGCATGCGCCCTGCGCCGCATTAGAGCAGACGTGTGAACGTGAAAATCCGTAGGGTTTGATACATACGGTTTCGTTAGTGTGTTGTGTGAAGTGTGGCATGGGCACGTGTGCGGGATGCGACGACGCACGTCCTACGCTGGTGCGGATCCGGCTGTTCGCCAGCGTTGTGTTGTGAATGGGCCTCGTGTGCGGTGCTGGTGACAAGAAGTGGAATTGGTACTGCTGCGGCTACTGCAGGTTGGGCAGACGAAATTCCTAGGCCTAACGATATTCAACGATTCATCGAAAGATGCACAGTGGTACTGCCGACAGACTCCGGATAGGCAACGAAGTGAGGGAACTGAAACTCGGCCGCAGTTTCTCAAGCAGCTCCGGCTCGGCATTCCATTCCATTAGGTGTAAGTGGCCTGGCTTTCTTTTTTTTTATTTCTTTTTCGCTGGCATGTGTACGTATGTACTACGTTCATCGTGACAAGCGAAAGAGCTGCGTTCGTGCCGCGAATTTTACAGCAGTCTCGAAGTGTCTGACGAAGGAAAAAAAAAGAAGAAAAACGTAAATTCACGCAGATCTCGGACTGTCCTCGCTTACTCGCTCCTCCGCTAGACTCTTGCGGTCGGGTTCGGAAAGGATAACCTAGACGATAAAATGCACGTCGTCGGGATGGCCTTCTCGAATCGGTCGACACATCGCACATTTCTCGCTCTTTTCTCGTTTTGCTCTTTTCAGCTCTTAACATCCGCGTTGTGTTACTGACACCGACCGGGAATCGCCGCTTTATCTTTGCCGAGTTCATATAAACACCAGCCCCTTACTAAAAAAACAGAGAATCACTGAAATCGGCGGTGTGGTCGTAAAATATGCGTTCGTATTGCGTTGAAGTTCGCCACCCTTGTCTCTACAGCACATGTCTGTCTAATTTGTATCTTAAACGTTTATTTTGCACGTGTGCGTTGAGCGGACTGGTGGAGCGCGACAAACGAAGTGCTACGTGTGGCAACGCGGCAGAAACGCTGCGATGACAAAAAGAAAAAAAAAAAAAGCTAAGGCTCCTCGCTGCCTTCCTACTGTATAGGCGTGTAATCAACACATTTGTCAAGGTTCAGCCATTGTGCATTCTTTGCTCTATTTTTTTTTCTTGCATGTAAGCAGGTGCCGTGTCTTTTTTACTTTGCCAGCAGCATGGGGCCGGTATCACTGGTGGGAATGAGTAGAAGCGTTTAGCGGTTGACACGGATAATCTGGGCTCAGGCGTTTGAAGAACATTATTATTATCGCGTTTGACATATGTCGGTGCGTAGAGGATACAGCGGACATTTCTCGCTGTATAAGGAATGCACCGTCACTAAGCGTTGTCTCGAGAAGTGCGGAAAAAACTCGGCAAACTTGAGAGGGAGATTGGGCACGTTTGATGTTCTTTCACTTTTTGCATCAAGTGGCCAGATCGCGTTTCCCTGCAGTGTCAATCAGTAAGCTGTAAGGGCGACAGTAAATACATGCAACTCACTGTTCCGATTACGTAGAGAAAACTTCGTAATCGCTTTGTCCATCTGTAAGATGTGCGGAGACTGGTGTTCCTTCAGTAGGAGTCGTAAGTCGATGCGGTGCGTACAGTAACGTTGAGTCTTTCAGATATCGTCTGTACAGCGCAACAAGTGCAGGGAAATAAACAGGGAAGAGCAATGTGTAGCGTGGACCAACTTGACCAAATCAAGCTCTCAATTGTTGCTGCAGTCGTGTCAAAGCATGCTCTCTCCGTCTCTTCCTCGTGTTTTATCAGGCTGTTGTCACTGTAATCCGGCGCTTGTGAGGCAGAATCAGTATCGCCATACAAAAAAAAAAAAAAAGCGTTGGGCTGATAAGCTTCCACGGTGCTGCTGCCGAGTTCTCGAGCTGCTTGTAAAATATTCTGGAAAATAAAGAGATAAAGGTAGTAGTCCTTTGAGCTAAGTGCGGCGCCGCGTACTGGCTAAGATTGATAGGTCTAAGAGTGGTCAAGAAAAGAAAGATGCGTACGGGAGGCTATACCGGAGAGAAAAAAAATTAAGGAAATAAAAAAAAAGGTTTATGGAGTAACTGTTTTGTTTTGCGATACGCCACCGGTGGTCTATAGTGGTTCCGATGCTCGATTGCTGACCCGCAGGTCGCAGGATCGAATCACGGAGGCCGGTTTTTCGATGAAGGCAGAAATATTGAGGCTCGTGTACTCAGATATAGGTTCATGTAAAGAACCCCAGGTGGTTGGTCGAAATGGCTGGAGCCATTCATTACGGTGCCCTCATAATCATATCGTGGTTTTGGGAAGCTAAAGCTCTACAATTATATTATCTTGTGTGTGTAGTACAGAATGTCGCTGAACCTGAAATTCGTACATTTTTTTTCTTTTAAAAGCTACGGACTTCAGCTGAACCCGTTGTTTTAACTATGAAGATTTCCCTTCTCTTCCGTCTTCTCCCTCACGGAGACCTCGTAAGTCTAGTAGCTAGAGACTTCGTCTGCTGCGGCATTCCTTTTCCTACTTATTGTGATTACATTGACGTAACATTTCGGGCTTTTCTATGCTTCGAAAAAACGATCTAGACCTGGGAGCTCTAGATGAAATGAGGGAAACGTTAAAGTGGCCTTAAAAAAAAAACTATACATGAAAGCCAGTTTCGGTTCATGGAAGATAACAGTAGTGCTGTGACATCATTGTGGAGTTCATCGCGATTTGTTGGCACTCTCCCCTGTTATCTCCGGTTCCCTGGGTCGCCTCTCATGCTACTTACTCGTTGCGAGGCTTGGCGTGAAACATTCAATGGCATGTCCAAGTACAACGTGACCCGCTATTCTCGACCTTTAAGAACCTTGATCCAAACCATTGAAAGATGGGACCGTGTGTTCGGAGCATAGGCGGACGGGTGGACAGAGGGAGGGTGCTTAGATGACCTTTGGGCGCCTGCTCCCCAGTCATCTTCGCACAGTCAGGCACTGCGCCGTGTCGCCCAAGGGGCTGACAGCAACTAGGTGCCTTCTTCCTCCTTCTAGAATCACTCAACAACACACAGTCAGACCGAACCGTCATTGATGTGCAGTGTCACGGCTGTGCAGTTTTTTTTTTTTTTCATTTTCTCTGTTTAATATGTCGGCTCAGGGACACCCGGTAATTGCTCAACGGTTCACTGTCGCACGTTTACCCCCAAGAAATGTAAAGACCAAAGCACCCGATCAACGATCCAGGAGAGGGGGCGCTGCGTAAACGCCTCCCCCCCCCCCTCACACACACCTATTTCGGATAAGCCAGCGCCCGCCCATAGTTCGGAGCCTTGTCTTTCACAACGAGGCCACATGCAAGGCTGTAGCCTTCACCCTAACCCGTCTTTGCTGTCGTAAATCGATATTTGCTGGTTCGTTGCCAGCACTTGAGGAAAACAGCAGCTAGGCTGAATGTATACAGGGAACTCTCACGTGACGAAAGTGTGCCGCGGCGCGCTTTGTTCTGGGCAGTTGTAGATCAACTGTACGGTGCATCACACTAGAACAGTGACGCATTCAGTTCGCTTGCACAGCGATCTGTTAAAGCTTGGACAATGAACGTTTCGCGGTTATTATCTACATGGGGCATCGTCTCCCTTTGACGCGGTGGAAGCTACGCGCTGCAGTGCGTGGTGTCGTCCGAGATTGTCTTATGCGCAGTGTTATCTCTCGACCCTCGCGGTCGTATCTCCGAGAGCGATGACGATTACCGGTTTTAACACGGTTATGAGGCGTGGGTCTTTATCACCTCTTTCAGGCCCGATGATTCCAATCCGAATCTTCAATTTTCTGCGTTAGTCAGCAACCGCCCTGGTACAAAAAAGAAGATAGCATTCGAATGCGACTCATATTTAGCATCTGCTCTACGTATGCTACCAGCCTGGTAGCCTAAAGGCACGTGTGAGTGAAGAAACTTTAGAAGCATCCGCACTGTTTCCGCAGTTTTCTGTGGCAGCTTCTGCTGTCGCCCTGAAGGGCTAGGGCATTCATTTTAGTTTTGTATCTAAAATTTGAATTTGGCTGTTGGGTGATGTAGTTTTTCTACCTTCGAAACTAATTGATTCTGGATCGAAAAGTCATGCGTGGAGTCTTTATTGATTTTTTTTTAAAACTTCAGGTACTTATAATTATGCGCATGTGACATTATAAAAGTCAGTTGCTTACATTGAACAGAATAAATTTGGGATTTGGGCTTGAAAAGGTCAACAGGAATGTACTAGCCGCGTTACTGTTCAGCGTGTGCGTCATTAGTGCGATCCCGCCGCACACATCTATCGAACGGCCTTCCCCTTTTCGATGACGTCATTTTCCGCGGCGACGCGTCTGAAAGCCTCGGGCATTGTCAAACCGGAAGCGCCATTTCGCAGCATTTGCTCTCACGTGGTCTTGACTTGTGAATTATTAGAATTATATATTCCGATAAGGAACTGATGCTGGGATCGATTGTTTCATGTCTGTGTTTGGTTTTCATGTCCAAAGCGAATGAAACAAATGACCTCAATTTGTTCGAATGCTATTTGGGGTCAAAGTTGATAAGGTACGCTACAGAGTGTGGTTGCGTGTACAAAACGTTTAACAGCTGCTCTGCCTGATACAGCTTTGGTCATTGCGCGGCCAGGGCGAAAGAGGGGCTCTTAGAATTAAGCTTTTTTCTGCAGTATCCATTCTCGGTTCTTGTCGGCACAAATCGGCCTAAAGTTATCTCCCAAACCAACGTTTCCAACAATCTCCCATTCGTACGTCCCCTTAGTTTATATTGAAAAGCGATCTTTAACGCAGTGAGAAAACTCGTCACTTTAGAAGGCAAAAAACTGATTTACACCTGCTTTAGCAGCGCCTTTTGAGTTTACAATCAGCACGGGTGGTCTTTTCGGGGGGGGGGGGGGGGGCATAAAAGAGTACTGACACGATTTTAAGGAGGCACCCTGAAGGGACAATTTTCATTGTAATGTTTTCTTCGCCCGGCGTCTGCAAGCCAGCCCACCACAGTTGACATCATTCGCGATTTTTGGAAGGAGTGGGGGGGGGGGGGGGGGACATACCTTTTTAAAAATGGCCATTTCTCGCTCTGTATGCCTTGGCAAAAAACGATTCGGGGAGGGAGAGGGGGGCACGGGTTCCGGTATGCCACCCCCTGACTACGCCCAACGAGGATTAGAAGAAGAAGAAAAAAATTGCGGGAGTGGAAATTGTTCACCAGGAGTGAAGCTGTACGCACCGTAAGATGGCGGCTGCCAGCTTACTAGGGACAATATGAGCGGTTGGCGTTCGGTGATTGAAAAAGGGAAGTCTTATTGTACACGTAACTTGTACGTACACGAACGAAACAATGAAATTTATTGAAAAACAGTGTATACATATTAGAAATGTGCATTAAAAAGAAAA